TTGAGGCTTTTCTCTTCAAAACTTCCCTCAGGCCACTCTTCCTACAGTTCACACTTTCCATTCAACTTTACTCTCCAGAACCTTCTTCACCAATCCATGTCCCAACATATTCTTCTGTATTTTTCTGGTGACTTTCCGACAGAGCTTATTCCCCCTCTCAATCTTTTAGCAAGACTTGATAAGGCACAAATTGGATTATAGATTATAGACCCAATTTAATTCTTAAGAATACTATTCTGTGTTTCTCAGAAAACTATCTTCTTCTTATCTGTTATCTTGTTTACACACTTGATAACCGTAACTTATTTAAAACATGCTGTGGTAAAATTTCTCATTCAGTACTTTTGTCTGAAGATGGTAACAACGCTGTTACCGAAACGTCACACACTATTTATTTATTTGGATTTGGTCTTATTACCTTGTGTTTATAATCTATAATCCAAATTGTGCCTTATCATATTTCAGGAAACAATAAACAATGATATTTCAATAAAGTTTCAAGGTGCTAGCTTTATTACCACGATATCGAATGTCTTGTTTGGAAATTGTAGTCCTTGTCTGCCTATCTTCCACCATGAAATCAAAGCCCGGCCTGGTCTGGCAAGGCCCACAGCCTCTGGTTGGGTGTTCTGAATTTCCAAAGCTGGTGTAGAGACTCACATGGTGGCTAGCTTTGTTTTTGAGCAATCCTTGACAAAGGTTGGTGTTGAGCTACCCAGAATATTGAAAAATCCTTTTATAATAATTATCAGTAATTTTGTGTGCGTGTTTATTTTAATGGTATGGGAGATAGCATTTTCTTTTTTTGTGACATCAATAATTGTTCTTCTTTTTCTTTATTATCTCCACTCAATCATACTAAGGTATCAAGCTTGTAAAGCTTGTTGATGGTGTCTGCCGGGGAAGAGTAGAGCTCATCAATGAATGAGTCAATAAGTGTTATTTTTAAGAGATTTCACTCTTCAGTCAGTTATCTCTCTCTCTTTGATCCTTTTTCTATCAGTGTGGTCATTCATTTCCCACCACGGTACAAAGGTTTCTCTCCACCACTGAGTTGTGTTGGTCCTGCTGCAGACTATTACAAGGACTATGGACTGGACAGGTGAGTTCCTCCTTCAAGCCATGGGATGTCCCTGACTGTTCTGTGCAGGTCCTATGACAGATACAACTCCATGTCCTCCTACCTGAATGTAAGTAGCCACACTCCATCTGATATAATACAAAAGCTTATGTCCATAGTTCATTTAAAATACCCATTCGAAGAGTCAAGCATCAGTATCACTATAAAAGGAAGTTCCAAAAATGCAATATAACAGCGGTATGGTAGATTAAACTGGCGAAACCGCTGGGAGGGTTCACCACTGATGAGCCAGGCCCTCCCTTTAATTTTTCCATTGCAGTAAGGGCAGTAGAAATTGTTTAATTTTAAAAAGAATATTACGCGTCTAAAAATAGTTTTGTAATTTGATGATATAATAGAGTCGCAAGTAGGATTGCTGTAAGATAATATATTCATCTTCTAAATAATAATCTCTCTCCTTAGATCTCTCTATATAGAGAAAATTTCCAACAACAACAACAATGCAATAGTGTGTGATGCTGTTACCGAAATATTACACACACTATTTATTTGGATTTGTTCTATTACCTTGTGTTTAAATTGTATTTAAAATATATACGTGTTATAAATAATAATGATGAGTGGAGATTTCCTGCTTGAATTTAGATCATGTTGAGGATTATGGTAATGTAATGCAGTCGTGGTTAAATCTTGAAAGTATGATAATAAAAATAATTTTGATCAGTAATTTAATTAAACTAAAGGAATATATATAAAAAACATAATTTGATAAAAGTAATGCCTGGCTTAAGGCGAGTAGAATAAGGAAAACAAAAGATTATTTACATAATGTACAAAAGTATTGAGCCGACCATTGGGATAAAACAACAACGAGTTTTTATAGGGGAAGAGTGACCTCTGGCAGTCGATTTAGCAGAGTATTTGAATCTATGAAATTATAATTTTTTTAAAATAAAATAATATTTTTATAAAATATACATCTATACAGTTAAACCTGTCTATAGCGCCCCCTCTTGGGACTCACCAAAATAGGGTGCTATAGACAGGTCACTTTTGATGTAAAATGTTTACATTTTAATGGCACTATTTAGAGGGGGCGCTATAGAGAGGTTTAACTGTATTATTATTATTAATAAATTAATTCTCATTGTGATATGTGTAATGAGCTAAAGAAGTTGGACTGTTGTGTAGTTTTTCTATAGAAATGGGAATTTAAAAAAAAAAAACTATTCTGGAGAGTTTATCCCACAGAGAGGAGATGTACAGACAGAGAGATGGTGTCCAGAGCTACGACGGAGGCACCTACATGAGGGACTTTCTCACCAGGAACCCCAGCCCTCTCTATGACAACATGGTCCGTACATTCCTGTACTCCTACGTGCCAGCAGCCTATGTGTGACATACCTGGGTGTGTAGTATCTCTCCCCGGACCCCTACTACCCCCTGTCACGCCGTAGGACCGTGGACTACAGGTTCCAGCAGAGACACAACTCACGATCTGTAAGTCTTCTACAAGTTACAGTAGAGGATAATGGACTTGGTACAAATTACCATATTTACTGTGTCTCTCGACATCTCTCTCTATAGGACACTTCAACTCTACAGCTGGGTGTTGTTCCTCAGTGAGATGTTGTATAAATGAATCGGCAGGAGTAATTGGTTATGCAATGTAAAATAAAATTTCAAAATGGACAAAAACTTCAATAACTGCTTGAAATGCAATTGTGCGGAAGCTTCTCTGGAACATATCTTATCATGCTCAGAACTGACAATAGAGGACCCCAGGCCTATAACTACCATCGCAAAATTGGAGAGGAGTGGACTTCAGGAATTGGTTTAACCATGGAGATAAGCACCACTACCAAAATAAAAATGACTTTGCCTGGCTACTTCCAGTGTGAATGTTTGCCCACTGAATTATTGTCTTAAATTTTTATGATTTATACAGTAGAGAGTCAGTCTCCCATGAGAGACTTTAAACTAGGTCTCTTCTGGAGGTGGGGGTCTCTTATTGGAGAATCTATCATATCAGGCAAAGTTATTTGAAGTTATTCAACCAAAACAGACTCTGATTAGAGACCACCTCTATGATAGACTATGTATAACTATGATTTTAAGCTATGGTCTCTTCTCATGGGAGACTCTGATGTTTTCTCTGTGGAATTTTTCTGATCCAAAACTTTGGTGACCTGTGAGCAAGCCGTCTGTTGTTTGGGCGCAGTATGAGAGGTCGGTAGAAGATTTCCTCCGCCACACTTCATCCAGGAGGCCAGACAGGAGGACCTTCCTGCGCAAGACCCACTGAACCACATTCTGTCTCTCTCTCAAATAAATATTTTTGGCTTTCTCCTCCACTACTTGTTGTGTACTGGACGTCAGCTTGTAGATTGTGTTGTGTTCATATTAAATTGTTTCTTTTTGTCTCATCCTCCTACTTTATTTGCATAGATGATAAAGCACAATTTGGAGATTATAGATTATAATAAAGGAAATAAGACCTAATCCAAATGATTTATTAGTTTCGGCAATGGTGACAATGTTGTTGCCGTCACACAAATCATTTGGATTAGGTCTTATTTCCTTTATTATTTGCATAGACAAGGAGGGATATTACAAACTAATCATAAGATGCTGCAAATCTTTTCATTTACTTGATTAAAGAAAGCTTTCAGGTAAGTCCTTCTTCAGCTGACTAAAATGTTGATGTTTTAGTTAACTGAAGAAAGGCTTCTGCATGGAAGCTTCCTTTAATCAAGTAAATAAAAAGATTTTCTGTGTCTTATGCTTTTTTTTTTTTGTAATCTGTGAAAATCCACAATTCTCTGTGATAACTAAGAGAGAGAGAGAGGAGGGATATGTACATGAGGTATTTACAAGATGCAAATGTATAGTGGAGTGAACCCAGGAGGAGCTCTGAACATCAGAAATAGACAGCATCAAACAATACTAACAAGATTTAGAACAGGCCATCTCAAGCCATTGAAGATAGAAAATAACAAAATCTACCCCACTTGCCCAAAATGTAGTTTGGCACCTGCAGCTCCAGAACACATTTTGGCTTGCATTATATGTACTAAACAGGACCTTTGGGAGAAGCCGCTGCTTATCATAAAACAGCTTGAGGAGCATGAACTCATGGAATTCATGTAATCTTTACACAAGGGGATAAGAAACAACAACAACAAGATGCAAATATCTAAGAATGACAAATGATTGTGGCGAGATACAGCCTGCCCCGAAGACAATCGAGGAGTACTACCATATGTTTGGACATCTTGTCGGGGTGGATAACAGTGTTACTGGAACAAAGCTGGAAATTGGAATTCAAATGGACAACTTCAGGAGAAGACACTATGATATCATGAAAAGCCTTACCATATAAATGAAATTCTGACAGAACAGCAACACAGCCACACCTAACTATGGCTGGTTGAGAACAGAAATACACAGAACTATCAAAGAAGAAGCCCAGGTTAGGGAGAAAGCTCTTTTTTTTTTTTTTAATATTAACACATTGTATAATTATACAAGGTCATGGAGACTATAATCATTGATCAAATTCACAATCCAGGCGGGGTCGGAATACAAGTCCTGTCTTGAGGCTCCCATACATTCCAGGAGGTGGTCTGGTGAGGCCTCTCTGGTCCTGTAGATGGTGCATTGTGGGAAGGTCTTTACACCATCCTGGAAGAGGAGCAGTCTTGTATGGCCAGTTTTGAGCCTGGAAATTCAGGTTGCTGCCTGTCAGTTCATCCCACATTCTATAATAGCTCTAGACTTGGGGGGCAAAGTCAGACTGTCACCTCCATGCAGTACCCCCTGGATAGCCAACCAACAACAGCAGCTCCCCATCATGGAGACTTATGGGGAGAAAAGATTCTTTATAAAAGAAAACTATCTATGAGCTTTCAGGCAAGATGTGGGGTTCGGTGGAAGGCTGGTTAAACCGTTTGGTTTTCGACCACTACGACCCGGGTTCGATTCCCGCATTGGACACTTTTTTTCTGTTTAAAAAAAAAAAAAAATGCTCCAATGGCCCCCGATTCTTGCAAAAGTCCAACCCCACCAGCGAGTGCAAGTAATCAAACGGGGCTTTGGCACATTTGTAAGTGCAAAGTCGAACTGCTTTTCACATGTGTAGACATGTGGTGCGCTTACAGTAAAAGCAGTCGCTAACTACCCACCATGATTATGGCTTTGAGATAATGAAGAGACAAGATGTCCTTCTATGGAATCATGATTCTGTAGCCATAGAAAGGTGTCTTAGCTGAAAGCTTATAGATCCTTTTGTTATATAAAGAAGCTTTTCTCCTCAACCTATGTTCCATCTTCTATAGCGAATATGGAGATTATCCTTATCGTGCAACTGAATGTTGCTGATGGCTTGCTCCATCTATCGGAATAAATATCAACAGTTGATATTTATTCCGATAGATGGTGCAAGATTCAGTTGCACGATAAGGAGATGTCTTTTTCTTAATTTATGCACCTTATCTCTGTACAATATCACATTTGTACTATTTTTTCACGGGAAGATTATCGTTGAACTATCAAAGTCTGCAAGAACTAGGAAGCCTCACACTTCCAGGAATCCACCATAGCAGATGGTTGGTCAGCTCTTGGTTTGTTTAACTCTTGGTTCCAGCTTGTTGGGGACTCACAAGAGGGGCACATCTGGACCTTCTGTACAAGGTAACAAAGCCTCAATTACATTATGACCATTCACTTGTCTAAGAGCTGCTAATGACAGAAGGTGACAGCGATATCTCTCTAATTTTGAAATTTCTAACAAGAGTTCCTTGCTCTCTCTCACTAAGATACATTTAAAGACAATAGCAGCTAAGTTCAGTATATAAGTTAATCGAACAAATGTGTACAAGTTAAACAAAGATGGAGAAACCCCATCCAGATGTGGTAATCCCATTTTCCATCAAATGAAACATACATGCCGATAGAAAGAGATGAGTTGAAAACATTGGAACAGAGTTTTTGTTTTTTAAACAACATGTCTTAAGTACAGTAACTTGTCCTAAGTACATGTGATACAGACCATGATAATCATGGTAGGTAGTTAGCAACAGGTTTTACTGTAAGTACACCAAATATTAATAGTGTATGATGTTTCGGTAACAACGCTGTTACTGTCACACACTATTAATTTATTTGAATTAGGTCTTATTTTCTTGTAGGTATAATCTATAATCCAAATTCTGCTTTATCATTTAAAGACAATAGTTTTAACACAAAGGAGTAAATACACTCATAGACAAAACTTGAAGAAGTTGTACCTTTTAACATGTATATTGGGATTCTCTCTACGATAAATTTCCAGCGGTTCCATTTAGCTAAAATCTTACTTTTCTCTGGTATTTCAACACAACAGACATTAGACACAACATCTCACATCCAAACTGCTCTGGTAACCTTTCTTCCTTAACAGCGTTGTTGCCATCTTCAAACACTCAGTACTTTTGTCTGAAGATATCAACAAGGGGTTTGGTGGAAGGATGGTCTAAACTGTTGGTTTATGACCGCTATGACCCGGGTTCGATTCCTGTATTGGGCACTTTTTTCTGATTAAATAATGCTCCAATGGCCCCCCCCGATTCTTGCAAAAGTCCAACCCCACCAGCGAGTGCAAGTAACCAAATGGAGCTCTGGCACATTTGTAAGTGCAAAGTCGAACTGCTTTTCACATGTGTAGACATGTGGTGCACTTACAGTAAAAGCAGTCTCCTACTTCTACCCACCATGATTATCATGGCCTGTACCACGTGTACTAGGGATAAGCAAAAAAAAAAAAAAGATATCAACAATGCTGTTACTGAAACAAATTGATCTATTTGGATAGGGTGGTCTTGTTATCATATGTTTCTCGGATCAATAATCCAAATTGTACCCCTTATCAAAAAAGAGCGTTCTTGTAAAACAAGAAAAACAGAAAAAAAAAGGCGTCTTTTGATCATGCAACTGAAATTTGCTGAAGGCTTTTAACATCTGTGTGGAATTAGAAAAATCTGTCAAATTCTGACAGATGGCGCAAGCCATCAGTAACCTTCAGTCGTACAATCAGAAGATGCCATTTTTCTAATGTATCTACTGATCCCAGAATGTTTTTAAAAAGAATTGACCTGCCTAAGTAAATTTTTCATAACAAGCTTCCATCAAACATTCCTGTTCATTGTGGCCTGGAATGGCCAACACAATCTTGACACACTGCCATAGAAAGTTTTTTTGTATAAAGATTTTCAATCCATTTCAAACATCATTCTAATGTCTACCTAAAAAAAAATTGAGAATATATTTATTGAACATATTTCATTGTGTGTTCCTGGCTACATTACCCCAAAGAGTGTTAGGAATATAAACAAAACTCCTTTATAACTAAAGTCAGAATAAAATATTTGAGATTTTTAGCTTTAAAAGCAGAGGGTTGACAAGGCATGAAACAAGGGGATATTAACGTGTGTTGAAAGAAAAATGTTAAGTTTCAGACAAGTCCTCCATCTACTAGGATTACCAATTGGAAGCTTGTGCTATGAGATATGATGGAGTCTTTAAGGCTGTCATCATATCAAGAATGGAATCATTGGTCTATTGTGGAAGGTAAGGCCCAGTTAACCTAACAAACCTTTGGTGAATGGAAGTGAATATAAACAGTCGATAGCCACGACTGGATATTCCCTGACACACTTTTTTTTTTTCCTTAAGAAAAACATATATTCAATGGCCTCCATTAATAAACGGGAAAAAAAAGGCTGACCTTACAAGTAAGTGCAAGTAATCAAATGGAGTTCAGCCACACTTGTAAGTGCGAAAGTCTAACTGCTTTCTACATGTAGTGTACTTACAGTAAAACCTGTTGCTAACTACCTACCATGATTATCATGGTCTGTATCACATGTACTTAGGACAAGTTACTGTACTTAAGACATGTTATTAAAAAAAAAAAAAAAACTCTTCAAATGTTTTTGTTCAACTCATCTCTTTAGAACAGTTATGATGCATTAGCGCGCCATCTGTTATCAAAATTCGAAACTATTATAGACACGTATGATTCTTTTTTAAAATAAACAATTTCTACTGTCCTTACTTCAATGGAAAAATTTGTAATCGGTAAGGGCAGTAGAAATTGTTTAATTAAAAAAAAAAAGAATCATACGCGTCTATAATAGTTTCGAATTTTCATCTCTTTCTATCGGCATGTATGTTTCATTTGATGAAAAATGGAATTACCACATCTGAATGGGGTTTCTCCATCTTTCTTTAACTTGTACACTCTTGTTCAATGGTACTTATATACTGAACTTTTAGCTCGTTTTAAAACGTCATTGATGTATCACAACATGGAGGACGAGCATTGCGTATTTTCATTTAAATCCAAAAATGAGCGAAAACGTAACTTCGACTGACATTTTAACGTAAAAGATACGAACGTAAAAGATAGACAAATTGTCTCTAATTGGCCCATTTTAGCGTCAAAAATACCTGTCAGGGACCGTTTTCGGGGTCGAAAGCTCGTTCCTTTTTTATATTTAACTGAAGATAAGCATTGGTAGGGTCTTCCATGTTTGTTGTAACATTACTAAAATATTTTCACACACAAAGCCTTTATTAAGACCCCATTGGTCTTACACAGATTCTCCAGAGTGTAGACAACAATAATCAGGATGAGTTGAGTTTTTTATGTACAATATTACATGAAATGCAGTAAAAAGAATGGTCTAATTAAAGAAGAAAAAAGAAAAATAGTTTTGAAGATTACTCAAATATTTTCTAGCAATTGTTACTGGGTGTAATTGTCTTGCAAGAGAGTCCATTGTTGTACTTGATCCTCTTTATTAATAAACTATTGGTTCAATCAATCATCCAGGGTAAATATTTGGGTTCTAAGCCTAGTTTGTGACCCCTCTCTGTGCCAGGGTAAAACCTTTTTTAAAATTATTATTATTAATGATAGTTCCTTACACCATGCATGTTTATCTTTAAACCTTGTGTTCTATTGTGTTGTAAACACAAGGTAATAAGGCCAAATACAAATAAATAAATAGTGTGTGACGTTTCTGTAACAGCGTTGTTACTATCTTCAGACAAAAGTAATGAATGAGCTTCATTACTTTTGTCTGAAGATGGTAACAGCGCTGTTACCGAAACGTCACACACTATTTATTTATTTGGATTTGGTCTTATTACCTTGTGTTTATAATCTAATTTGTGCCTATTTATTGTGTTGAAAGTTTGTTCAAGTCACTTTCACAAGAGTTCATTCATCCCTATGTTAAAACGAAACCTATCCTTCCATTTCCAGTAAAACGCTATATTGCACAACAAAGAATACTCCTTTTTTTTTTTTTCAGGAAATCATGCCAAAATCTTCAGTAAGTAGGATACAATATGCCATCTTTGCAAAGAAAAATAAAAATCGAAATATCGCATTACATCTTTGGATGCCAGTTGGTCCACCCCCATTCCTAACGAATCTTCTTTCCACACCCTTACTAGGGAAGAACAAACGGCGATTTCAAGATTACGAACAGGACATCTTAGAATGCTTGTGGGGGCTGAAAGATTTCATTCCAGCCTACCGGGATGCCGCACCCCACCGCCATAAATCACCAAGACGACCGCTGCGCCAGGGGAGCACAGCGGAGGAATGAGGAGAGAGGACCAGATGCGATTCCGGGGCGTTGTCCTCTTGGTCTTCCCATGTGAATGTAGTGTTAACAAGAAACTTCAATAAAACACTAACTTGAGAAACTTTCTGAGCCATCGCTGGACCAGTAAATCGACACACCACATTGGTGAGCCGGACGTGATTGAAAAGAAAAAGCATACGAAGATTTCAAGAGATAAAGAAATGCAAAAAGTGATTCAAGTTTGAAAAGAAGCATCATCCAGGATATCGGGATATCATCTCAAGACTAAGATAAGTTTTTATATTATCTTCCTTGTTATTTTATCTCAATATTTTTATTTTTAACTTTATCTCTAAGCTG